ATATCATAGCTGACCGCACCATGGGCTAGCCCATACACCCACTGCACGAGTGGAATACTACTTAGTCAAGTAGAAAGGAACAAGGTCTTACGGCACGATCACTATATCTTCGATTTTTCTTTATCTCTCCTCTATGGAAAGAGGGGATGATACGTGGCGTGGTATACCTGATCGTTTAGTCAACAAGACGTACGTAAGTCGACATAGCTCCATGTATATGTTCTTTGGAGCTAGAACCAATCAATAGAATGAAATGAAATAATGGTAAGCCTAGGGCGACGAACATGGCTCAAGAGTGTCTATACAAAGCCCCTCTCTTCTTCACTCAAAGAGGCAATGCACCCTTTGTTTGAATGGTACTTGATTCATAAAGAATGATTCTTTTGAAGTTATACGAACTTTCTAAAAAAAAATGCCACGCGGAGCGTGTCACGAGATATATCGCTCTCGGACTTCTTACGGTAAGGCCAATGCACCAGCCAGCCAGTGTGGTGGCGAACACGCTGTGCTCTAAGCTAAGCTGTTTACCTTGTAGACGGAGGAGATATAGAAAGTGTGCCGTGCTTGATTCATAAGATTCTATAATCAATAGCACCAGTATATTATTTTACTTAGCCTGCCTCTCCCATGACTTTCCGGACCAACCAACCCGGATCTGCTTTCGCAAGTCTCTCCGCATTTTGGGAGCAGAGCATGCAGCAAAATCGAGCAATGGATCTTAGAAGAATTCCACTTTGAAGCACGACTCTTTCTATTTCTGTGCTGGCATTTGAGTTGTCTCCCTTCCTCTTTCAATCGAAACACTCGACGCAGATAGCTCCGGTGGCCCCCGCTTCTGCCTCTATCAGGCGGCGACAGCCCCCCCCTCCACACCCACAGCATAGAGGAGCTGCTCCAACATCCGCACTACAACCAAGAAAAATGCTCTCCAGAGCGATATATGATGCTAAACCGAGACCGAGATATAGAGAGGGCTGTCCTTTTGTTGTCTCGAAGAGACAAAAGCACTCATATGAATGGTGCTAATTCCCATGTTCTTTCTAGTCTCGTTTGGTTTCGAGAGCCTCCCTCTCCCCGTCCCTTACTCGTCTTTTGAAAGCCGTCGTCCTGGATTTTCTTTCCGTATGCCGGGGAAAGTACCTCACCCTCACCTTTCTACATTTATTATTATATAGAATTTCCCCGGGTCTCTATAAAACAGAATGAAAAGCCCGGGTGGAAGCACAAACAAAAGGAGAGAGAAAAAGTAGAAAAGAAAGGGGGGAAGAAGTCTAGTGCTAGTTCTTACTAAGACTTCTTTATCTAACTTTCATTTTTGAGTGGTTTCTTTGTTCTCTTATTTGGATTGAAAGAAAGAAAAAACTTCCCTTTCTTTCTCTTCTTTATTTTTGTTTTATCCCTTCGACGAATTTCGGCTATGACCAATGCCCCACTAGCTAAATAGGCGTAAGAAAAAGCTACCTGAAAAAAAAGCAAGGTGCACCTTGAATTGAACTCGACGAATTGCGTTTTGCCAGAGAGATTTTTTTAGAAAGATTCTCCATTGGTAATTAAAAAATATAAAGAATATAAATAAAGGCGCATACGCGGGAAGGGGCCCCCACTACTTCTTCATTCAGGGGGGAGGGGGGGAGACTAGCCTCATTACTTCCCACTGGGCGAGAGGTGCACCTAACCCACCTACCCACTCATCAATCACGGTGTTCAGCTGACTTGCACTGATAGACCCCTATTGTATTGGAATTAGGCGCCCATCTTTTTACTGTTGTCAATGAATCTCTTCCATGTTCGATTCTACTCTATGTTAGAACATTTCTGTGAATGCTATTCTGATCTAAGTGGTCTTATTCTTTGTCCCGTGCTAGGAAGCATTACTCCTCTTTTCATTCCAAATTCAAGAATACGACCGATACGATTAATTGGTCTGTGCGCCTCTCTTATTACTTTTTTGTATCCCCCTGTTCTTCGGATACAATTCGATCCTTCTACGGCCAAATCTCAATTTGTGGAAAGCCTTCGATGGCTTCCTTATGAAAACATAAATTTTTATTTGGGTATAGACGGTATCTCTTTATTCTTCGTGATATTGACCACATTTCTGATCCCTATTTGCATTTTAGTGGGTTGGTCTGGTATGAGAAGTTATGGGAAAGAGTATATTACAGCATTTCTAATTCGTGAATTTATAATGATCGCCGTGTTCTGCATGCTGGATCTTCTACTATTCTATGTTCTTCCCGAAAGTGTGCTAATCCCTATGTTGTGCGGAGC